TTCTCGGTCCCACAAGGGAGCATTCTTGGTCCCCCTTTTATGTTATTTATACTGCTGTAGTACCTACACCCCCTAACACCATCATCACCACCTACGCGGATGATACCGCAGTTTTGTCCTCTAAGTCAAATCTTCTACAAGCTACCTCCAACATCCAAAACCACATTGACCTTATCCACGACTGGTACAAAAAGGGAAAAACAGGACTGAAAGAAGAAAAATGTACGTTCACATCGAAAAAACAGCCTTATCCTCCACTGTACATCAACAATAAAGAAATACTGACTTCCATTGAAGCCAAATACTTTCAGACTGGAGTGAAATCCCAACACAAAACTTAACAGACAAAAATATAACAGAAGATAACTACGAATACTTTTAAAACAGACAGTTTTTCTTGACCGTCAACACGAAACTAACCTTTTATAAGACTTTACTGCGACCACTTTGAACTGCGTCGTGGATCTGTAGGTTTTTGAACACAAACACAATTGCGACTTCTACAAACCAAAAATATTATACACAGAACAAAACAAACCTAAACGTAACTTTTTAGAAATGGTTAACATCAACAGAGATAAACACAGCATCAATTACAAAACAGACACATGCAAACTTAGTCGCAGCTACGCCAATATCATTAATCAAATTCAGTATCGATAACATACATATATCATCATTACATCACACAAAACATATAATATAACATATAAAACAATCATCACATTCCACACATTAAACATTTCTACATAGCCTAATTTTCAACAATTTATACTTTTCCTATTTATCCCCGTCTATATAATCCTGAAAGGATAATCTGGCCGAACTATTACCAACTTGTTTTCCTTTCGTCTTTCTAATAATGTCTTTCTATACCGACTTCCTTCCCCACCCCTTCAAAATCCAACGTATATACATAAAACAGCAATATCTCACTGGCACTCTTAACAGGACACACAATAATGGCACAATTACGGAGAAAACAAATACTTTGGGTGAGTAGAAATACTTTGATTGAATATAAAAAATATTTTTTTGCATTGTATAAATCCCTTTTTTTCCACATCCTACATGTATTTGTTAAATGTAAACAATGCTTGTAAATCTCAGGCCCTGAAGATGATCTCAATAAAGATCGGAACGTTGGCACGATAAAGAAAATATTTTTCTAAAACCTACGTCACGATGTCCGAATAATCATCGACTAACGGTCACTAATCACCACACATATATCACCAGCTATTTCCGAATTAAGCAAAATGATCCCTAATTCGTATCTTAAACCAATTCAAGCTGGAGTGCCACAGGGCACTGTATGCCCTCTTCCCCGATGATCTAAAAGAAAACAGGGAAAATACCACGGCATCCGAATCAACAAATGCACTGCAAAGAGGAGGATTAAGCCGAATAAAGATAAACGTGTGTTGATTTCATCACCCTGAAAATGTATTACATAATTTGTCGTGAAATCCCATATGACAACGTGGCAAGGTACCTTACTATGACAGAAGCGCGCTTGCGAGGTCAAAAAAAAGAAACTTGGAACTTTCAAAACTACTGTTTTGTACTCACTTATTATCTCGGCTTAACGCAAAACCATTGAATCATTGATATTTAACCTAACCTAACCCTACCTAACATAACCTAACCATATAGAAATGATGAATGGTGGACTGAGTGCGGTGTTCAATCCTTTTTAAAAGATAGTTCCTACTCACAGTAAGTTGTTTTGCAACGATCCGGATTTCGAGCTTTTAGCTCATCATCAGATTGAAGGAGTGCTACAACCACGTCTCTCGACATGAATTGCAAAATTGTCCGGATCGTTGCAAAACAACTTCCTGTGAGTAGGAACTATCTTTTTAAAAAGGATTATAACCTAACCATTCCCTATCCTAACTTACTACGTCCCTAACCCGAGTCAACTTAGAACAATGCCACGTAATCCAACTTATGCGCACTATCTAGAAGATTTTTCTTGAAATCTCATACACCAGCGAAGTAAAGTACATTGGCATGGCTTTAAATGCGTGCTTGTGATGGAAAACACATCAAAAAATTAGGACTTTTAAAACTCGCGCTTCGCACTCGCATATTTTCTTTGCTTCGCGCAAAAACATTGAATCATGGATATATTAATCCTAACCGTACATTGCTTAGCCTAAACCGAACGCTAATCCTAACATAAACAGTAAATAACTTAACCTAATACTAATCTTGACAGCACATAATGTAACCTATCCCTAACCCTAACCCAATCGTACGTAGCGTAGCCTAAAGCTACTTAACCTAACTATTCCTAACCTAACTTAACCCAACCCAACCAATGCACTCTCTCCGGTAACAAGAAATCGAAGTTAAATAACCGCTCTGCGGAAGAGACTTTTTAAAAAAGGAAGTTTTATTGTAAAAGATTACAACAGTGGAACCGACACTATGACGGACAAAACGCAACAGTAACAGTGAGCCCCTTCGCAGTAGATACAAGGGGTTTTATACATATTTGTTTAATTAGTTTAATTGCTCTAAGGGCTGATGTGTTTGGTTGCAATGATAAGAAGGGATAAGAAGGGCGCTTTATCGTCTCTGGCCCTTAGGCTAATTGGGTCCTGGATATCTGGCTGGCTGATAATCTGTCACCTCTGACCCGCTCGACTTATCTGAAGTGCTTCTTGTCTACATGGCGTGTAGGTCGTTTCTATAACTCCTCCGTCCTTAAGGTCGAAGCTCCTGCGACAGAAAAGGTAGTCTTGAGAAAGCGGATGATGCAGGTGTTGGCTGAGCGTTTTCATCTTGACGGACTTCTTCATATGTTGATTCCATCTCGTGTGAGGGTTGAAAAATTTTCTTACGGCGCCAGCGGAGAAAAGCAATCGTGGGGACTGCTAACATTATGCCGATAAATATTATGATATAAATGTACATAGTTGAAAACCTTGAGGGAGTATCCTCTAAAAATTCAAACGGTTGCATTTTTATATTTACAACATGTAAATTTTCAAAAGATATGTTGGTTTTTACTTGGTCAAACACATCAGCTATTGTTAAAAAAACTTTGGTTTCTTTAAACATTGGTATTGTCTTTTCATTTAACAATCTTTCGTTGCTACTTAATTTCATTAGGCTAGTATTTGTTAAGAATACAGTTTCATTAGTATTATTTCTAATAATTACAATTGTCTTGGTCCTATATGCTAAATAATGGTCGATAAAAGGTACATATTTTATAAATGGTTCACTTGATATAAAAACAGACTTGCAATTAGAAAGATTTTCGTTTGTTAATATTTTTTTATACAATCATTATTAATTTTTGATTTATTTGTACAATATGTAAAGTTATTAATTTCTATGCACGTAGCAGTGAATAAATCATCCTTCGCCTTGAGTATTAAGGGTGGATAAGTGTATATTGTAGTTGCTCGGGAGTTTTTAAGAACTGGATAGGATCTCTCAGGAAATAGGCATCAAAGGTTTGGCTTTGTAAGGGAATATCAATAAAATAGTAGATATTATTATCAACAAAAGAGCAATGCACTTTAGTTAGTTGCCAAAGCGTACTAAGATCAGGTGATATAAACGTAATATTTTTAGTTTCCTTTAGAGACTCAAGATCATCGTATCTAAAAATAGAAGAATGTAGCATTTTTAATTTGCAGAACTCTACAGAGTTTTCTATATCATTAATTTTATTCTCTAATAAAATCAGGTTTAGAAGGATAGCGTTATAAAGTTGGTTCCTTTCTAGTTCATTTAATAGGGGATTAGCTAATAATTTTATCTTTCTGTTGTTTTCTTGTATGATTTGTATATCACGATTAAATTCATGCACTAGTTTTTTATTGATTGTCATTTGGCTTTCCCCATTGTGTTGCAAATGAAAGGAGTTGCTCTGGATTGCATTTATGGCTTTGTCGTATCTCTCTTTGTCATCAGAGTCCATGTTTCCAGTGATCCAAGAGATTGCCTTTCCTAAACCATTAAAAAGTCCTCTCTTTGGTCTTTGTGTTTTTGATTTGTTTATCATTAAGTGATTAAATTTCTTTCGTGTGTAGAGAAACAATTTTGATAAAGATTCTGGTTTGTTAAGTATAAACTTGAGTAAGTCTTTTACGTAATCTAGTTCCGTTTTTATCTGTTCTAAGTTGATTAAATGAATAAATGTGTAATATTTGTCTGTCATATGTGTGCTATCAACGAGAGTCTTAGTGCTTGGATTAGAGGTTTTTTTTCGTATTTTATGATTAGGGTTTCTGTAGTCAATTACCAATCCAACTTTTTTCTTTCTTGAAGCATCCGTGTTCTTAAGAACTACCCAAATTGGACTATTGAAATGCGAATTGGGATGTCGGATTATTTTATTTTCAAGCAATTTGTCAATTTTTACTTGAACTTCTTTGCGGTTCACTTGGGGGTATCTATAATTTCTGGAATACACTGGTTTGTCATCAGTGGTTAATATTTTATGCTTTAGTAAATTTGTAGAACTTAGTCTATCGTTTTCTCTTTTTATTATTTCAGGGTATTCCTTTAATAATTTTATTATTTTAAATTTTTCTTCGGAGTTGATATGCTCCGTTCTAATTAGCTCGGGTATTTCTTCCCTTATTTCTTCCGAAGCCACAGCTTTCGACCTTTCGGGGCAATTGGCCACTAATGAGTCGGTATAGCTCATAGAAGTGCTTGTTTAGTCGATGTCCATAGGTTCAGGGCAAATGGCGATAACCTGCTTGGATTCATCGCAAATCACTTTGTTCATCTCGGCTTCGACGTTTATATTTTTTCTTATCTTTTTAAAATATTTATCATTTACTTCTGGTGGCTCGAAAGAGAATCTCAATGGAATCGTGCCACCATCATAAGAAAGAATTTTATTGTTAAGGTCTATTTTTACGTCTAGCTTCTGCATGGTTTTATATCCTAACAAAACTTGGTATTTATCTGAAAATGGGAAGAGATGAAATTTCGCAATATCTGGCTTTTTGAAAATGTTTGAAAGATCTAAATTGCAAAATTTTTCTCCGTTTTTCTTTCCTGTGGGAGTTGAAATTATAAAAGTGTCATTGTTTAGAATTAAGTTTTCGGGTACAGCGTGAGGGGTAATATAATTTTCTGAAGATCCAGTGTCGATTAACCATATGAATCCAAATCTATCAACAAAATGTGGCAGGGACTGAGAGATGCAGTTTATTTGATACTCGGGGGGCTGCCTTTCGATTCTTTGCCGAGTTCTAAAAAATGGTCAAATTTTTCTGTCAATGTATGGATGATGTGTTCTAATCTGTTAATTCTGTCTCTCGAAGTATGGTTTGTTTTTGCTTTTACGCAGTGTGTTAATTCGTACGGGGACCTCAACTCTGATATTCGAGGTTTTCCCACCGATCGCATAGAAACTGTGTTCTGAGAGTCGCGTTTAATAAATGGTCTTGGCCTATTAAAAGGGTGATTAGGATCGTTGCAATTGTCTGGTTTTTTGAAGTGTTGACCATGATAATTATTGGAGTGGAATTTGTGTCTGTTGTCAAACGTAGTGTTAATGTATTTGGATTGATTGTTGTTGTGCTGAAAATGTTTAGGACCATTAGAGAAAACTTGTACGTTTGAGAGTAACAAAGAACATTTGTTATACATTGTGCTTCTAACATCATCCAAAGACTCGAGGTTAAAGATCATAATATAGTTGCTTAGGGCAGGGGGTAAACATTTGTATATATGAAATATTATTTCTTTGTCTATTCTGATCATTAGTTCTTTAAGGGCTTCTGAGCTTAATCCATCTAATTTAAGTCGGATATAGACAAGATTTCGCAAACCCTGAACTCTATTCACAAATTCTATAGGGGATTCTTTTGGGTTTAATCTAGTACGCATAACTTCTTCTTTAAGAATTTCGAAAGATCTTGCGTGTGCAAAGTTTTCTTTTAAAATTTTAATTAGTATCAATAAATGATTTATTTCATGTGACAGGAGTACATTTCTGGCAGGGCCAACTAACTTGCTCTTTGTTTTTATAAATAAAATATTATGATTATAATCTCTTTCTACTATATTTTCAGCACAAAGGACACTATAGGCTGTTTCAAGAATTTCACAGAAAAGTGCTAATTGAGAAGGGTTTCCATCAAAGAAAGGGATGTGATCATAATCCTCTTTTGCAATTTTATAGTTAATTTTCTGAGACATTTTAGTGGTTATAGGGGAAGGAAAGATTAATTTGGAAGGCGAAAGATGAGGACTCACTTCTACGTTGGTGTTCTTCTTCGCCAGGCCGTCTTCCTTCTTGGTTCCTGCTCCTTTCTCCGTCTTGAGGCGATTTTTCACGTTGACCGCTCCTGGATGGGACAAATGGCCGTAGCCGGAGATCTCTTCGGTCTTGAATTTGTTCTTGAACCGCGATTTAAAGCAACGATATGCTCGCTAAAAATTCTCGTTGGGTCGGTTGGACGCAACTGCGAGACAAATGGTTACGACTTTTTTCGAATTTTAGCTTCGCGGTCCCTGTTCCGGGCGCCAGTTAAATAACCGCTCTGCGGAAGAGACTTTTTAAAAAAGGAAGTTTTATTGTAAAAGATTACAACAGTGGAACCGACACTATGACGGACAGAACGCAACAGTAAGAGTGAGCCCCTTCGTAGTAGATACAAGGGGTTTTATACATATTTGTTTAATTAGTTTAATTGGTCTAAGGGCTGATGTGTTTGGTTGCAATGATAAGAAGGGATAAGAAGGGCGCTTTATCGTCTCTGGCCCTTAGGCTAATTGGGTCCTGGATATCTGGCTGGCTGATAATCTGTCACCTCTGACCCGCTCGACTTATCTGAAGTGCTTCTTGTCTACATGGCGTGTAGGTCGTTTCTATAACTTCGATGACGCAAAAAACTTTGTGTATCCACCCAAAAACATGCTTGTTAAAAAAAGTGAAAAACTCAACATCAAATTAGAGAAAATATACTGATTGATGGGAAGGAACGTGGCCAATTGAAAGCAAGAACTTTACCAAGAGGACCTCAAGCCCATGTCCCATCTAATTCCTGGGGATACCGATCAAATTCGAATGCCGAATCACACAGAACACAGTGACCTCAAAATGGAAAAGTAAAGGAAGCCATCTTTAAAGCCGCGTTATTCCACCATCAAAGGCTTAAAGACCATGTCAACGCAGAAGCAACTTAATAAAACACACGATGCGGAAAAACCGAAAGGTTTTCTGCCAGTATTATAAATGGAGTCACCATGGGATCAACAATTAATGACGATATTTTGGCGGCCGTCGCGTAATTGCGCTGAGCTTCAAGTAAAGAAAAAAAGTGTATTGTGCAAGGAATGTTTCTAAATGAGAAAAAGTATTCCCATATATATCTTTAAAGAGGGTGTTGTTCGCACCGGGCATATTTTATTTTCTTTTCTTAAAAAAAAAAAGTATTTAAAGTTTCATTACTCAACTTTGTTGTGGACGGCGAACGCACCTCGTCATCAGACCCGAAGGGGATTAAAGGTGCGTCGAGTCGCCCCTGACGACGTCACGCGTAGTAGTATGTTACAAACCACCGAACACGCTTGGTCGGACCTCGCCAATTCGTCTAATCTCATTTTGACTCCCCTCAGTCAACCCTCGTTTTTCTTTGCCCTCGTGTACGAAAGGATTACTCTTATTTTTTCGTTACGCCTCCGCACTTTCTGGTAGACTCAACAGGTTTCTCTGACGCTGGATCCGAGCTCGGTGACGCCGAAGGTGATTCCATCGACGCGCCAGAAGGTATATCTCATACAGTCCACTCAAAGGTAATACTTCGCAATTTTTTATTTTTTTTATTTTATTCGTCAAGCCTCCGCTTTTATTTTATTTTATTCGGCAAGCCTCCGATTTTATTTTGTTTTATTTTATTTTGCGTTTTATTTTTAACAGGTGTAATTCCAAACGGATATAAAAAATGAATAGGGAACGCAAGATATCATTAAAGACAAACGTATAAAACTTAATTTGTTTGTCAATGCCGGTTATGCAGTAAAGTTACAACAGTAACGACCTAAGAAAAATCTATTTTAGTTCAATTTTCCCCTTTTTTTTTTTTTTTTGTAACGTCAGCTTGAGAAGAAACTGCTGGAGATGACATTATGTCGAAACTCGTCTGAAGAAGCAGTTCCAGGATACAAAAAAGTAAACCAAAAAGCACATCAATGATGACCGGGCAAGAGAAACATACCTTAACGTGGATTATGACGAAAGTTCATATACAATTAACATTAATAAACTTGTCCCTGTGCCTGAATCGACCCAAATTTCAACTATAGCTCATGGTTATAAATTAAGCTTAAACACTTACATATTAATACTATTATTTACCTTAAGCTGTGGCTTGGAAACTGTACAGTTGCAAGTACACAATGTGGGTTTACATTTACAAGAATATATCCCCTTTCTTTCCGTGCTGTCTGCCTGAAAAAAATTAAAATACATGTATTACAATTCAGGAAACTCTATTATATGGTGGAGAGTATAAGAGATGGTAATATCAGACAAAAAGCTGGTGATTGTCTCGAAGTTAAAACATTAAACATTCGCCTCTTTATGTCAGAATGAGATGGAAAAAATATTTTTTATTTGTTATGCTCTAATCGTCGGTCTCTCTTTTTCTGGGGAATTCGCTTGGCAAAAGCGTTTAAAAAAATTGTTTTTCGTTTTGAACATATTCAAAATATAAAATGTAATATCCTTTGATCTATGGAGCAGGGAGACATGAAGGAGAAGTTCCTACTCACAGTAAGTTGTTTTGCAACGATCCGGATTTCGAGCCTTTTAGCTCATCATCAGGTTGAAGGACTTCTACAACCACGTCTCTCGACATGANACTGTGAGTAGGAACTATCCTTTTAAAAAGTATTGAACACCACACTCACTCCATCATTTATCATTTCTATGAAGGAGAAGTGGATTAGGGAGATTTTTCAACTTTGTCGTATACATCATTTAAAAGTTCAAGGACCATAGGCTACACCGCAATTTGTGAAGCTGAATCGATCATTCCTTGTTATATCATTTAATTTGTATTTATTTTGTATTTTATTTTTTTCCTCCTGCTGTTTAATCTCAATATTGTGTATTATTTATTAGCAAAAAATGTGTTGTATTTTTTTTCTGGTGACTTTTTCTTTCTTTATGCAGAGAGAATGAGATTTGAAGGGATGATTCGAATTAAAGAAGTTTACCAACGATGATGTAATAACCTGTGAGGTGTCCCTGCTAAATTTCAGGAAAAAACTCAATTGGTAAAAAAAGGTCCCGGAGATTCTGGTGGTTACTTCTCCGAAAATAAGGGAAATTTTAAGGGGATAAAAATCTTAACACTTAAATAAACCTTTGAACTTTTTTGTTAAGTTAAGTTTATTTAAAGCAATAAATTGACTTGGGATTATAAGAATAATTATTTAAAAAATGCATGTACATAAAATAATTAATTATATTAATAAATTGAATTAAACAAGATAAACTTCTTTCATTTAAAAAATAATAACCAAACAAAATATAGCCTCGTAAGTTAAAAAAATCTTTCTTCAAAATAAAACTTTTCAAATATTTACGAACATTGATATATGCAACTCTTCCAACACCGTTACATAAAGTTTTCCTGTGACAGAACAAAACCAATCTCATTCAATAATCAGCATTACTTAAATTAATTAATTGTGCTTGATCGGACTGGTTCCGCTTTCACGGAAGCCCCAAGTAGAACTGGGGAACCGAGCAAATTGTCAGCGGAAGAGGACACAGGCGGGTGTGAGATAAACCCCGAAAACGAATGTACAGAACAAAATAGATCGTCCGAGCTGAGGTCTGAGAAAAATTCAAGAGTAACATATAATAAAATTCTCCTGAGTACCAGACCATTTATTTTCAAACTGAGATCAACCAATAGAACTGTGCACAAGAAACACTTAAAAATGAAATAAAAGGTGGCCAAACCTATCCTCAGACAGCTAAGAAGTATTGCTTGAAACTCCACTTTCAACTCGAAGTTGGCCTAGGCAACGTAAGCTGGACTCCTCGGAAAACACAATCAGTTAACTCTGATGACATGAAAGGATTGAAGGCCTAAAGGCTGACAAACTAGCAAAACCAGGTGCCACATCAAACTCTTTGGACGAAAACAAAAAAAACCGGCATGCCCCAAAGAAAGCTTTCCCTAAAAACGGAACGAGTGGATGGAGAAAGAAATGAACACAAATTGCATGAATTCACCTGGTTCAAAATCAAAAAGATCCTTATAAGGACTTTCAACGTTCAAGGGAAAGGACAATCCCAGATATTTAGCTATCATTGTATACGCATTGATTGGGATAGAGGGTAATGGCCCTACATTTTTTCGTCCGCTGATTCATCTGGCTAGATGTCTTTTGACGGCTTTTGGAAAAATGGGTGTGTTTATACAGCGGTATAGGCAGGCAATGTATTGGACCTTGGAGAACCACCCCCCATTTAGTAATTTCTTCCGCCATTCCTTTGTTAAGTTCCGCTATATCATACTTTGGGGATTACAGTTCTAGTCTAAAACAACGGCTGCACCTGGTTTTGCTAGTTTGGCAGCCTGTTTGGATATCAATCTTTTCCTGCCGCCAGTGTTACGTGGTTTCTTTTTCTCACAAACTTGAAACGTGCTAGGCATTCCCAGACGAGATTTGAGATGAAGGTGGAAGAACCTAAGGCATCAAGATCTGCTTGATTGACTGAGAATTTATCTATACACCTTTCATTCTCTTTTTGCGTATTTCTTGTGCACAGGGTTGGATCTCAGGCTGGAAAATTGATGGTGTAGTCCCAGTTGTGTTAGGTCAACATCTGATTATTTTACATCTGCCCCCACTACCTATTCTATTTTGTAGGGCTACTCTACTTACTTGTTATTATTCCAAACACCATTTGGTTTTATTTTTACTTGAATGAGCCTGTCAGTAATCCATTTAACAGGTGTGGAGAAATCAGTTCGTGTGATGAATAAAAAACAAAACCTTATTCGTGGTAACACGTGTCCTGGTTCCATATAGAGGGCGAGTAGGAATGCTACCCGATTCGAAACCGTACTTAAGCACAGCAAAAGGTCTCCTTTTTCGATTTTTAGAAGGAATATTCCTCTCCTTTTGTACATTTATTTTAAATATAAACTAAATCATTTTACTACACAATTTCAAATTGCTTGTCTTTAATATTCTGACGATGACGCTGCTTCCACGCGAGACTGTTGTTTGGTGTCAAATTTTTGGATTTCCGCCGTGACCCCTGAATCTAAATATCCTTATGTAAGTCCTTATTCTTTACGTTCCATGGTGTATCGATCACGATACGCACAATTTTATTTTGGAGTGTTTAACTTAGTTTAATACAATCCCTAAGAGGTGAATATCTTATCTTTGTAAGATTTGAGCTGGTAGAACAACCTTTATTGTCTTTCCCATAGACGTATTTCTGTCATTTTTTACATGCTCTTTCCATCTCAGTTTGGCATCTAGGGTCATTCCCAGATAAGTAACTGTATCAGTAAGGTATGCCCCATTGATCGACGGAATATGGTACCATTATTTTTATTAGTGAAATTTATATGAACCAACTTTAGCTGATAGAGATTCTCCATGTTCTTTTCCACAAATTTCCAAAAGAATTTCTACACTGATTCATCCCCATCTCCACTAATTTCATTATCTCAATTCAGAGACGATGCACGTCTTATCGTAATCGAATGTGCCAAACAGTCCGAATCCATAAAAACTGGTCCGGTAGACGTGAGACTCGAATTCGAAGCTAGTAATCCGTTTCCTTCTGATACCACCGCATATTGTCTAATCATACATGACAGAATAATCGAGTATAATCCTTTAACGAATATCGTCCGTAGAATGGTATAAATTTATGGACTCAGCACATTCGATTCATTCACCATCATGACTTCGAACAGAGCATGTGTAGTTGAAATGCAATGCTTTGTAGACAACACGAATGCATATATTATAAAAGAATTGTCAATTTTAGATTTGGATCACTTTTCAAGTCAACATTGGGTTTTCAAACCTCCGGAGGAATGCGAATTAAACGAGTCCAGTCTTCGAGTGAATAACTGGCTAAATCGGTATTTCCATAAAATAGAATGGGGAGATGGGGATGTGGACTACTTTCAATGACATGTTATTTTACGCTGCTACCTTAGCAAGTATAAGAAAGTATTTGTTAAAGGATTACAAAAGAAACGCTTCATTTCATATTATTCCGACAATGTGATTGATCTTGAAGAGTTCGGTTGTCCACAAATCGGAATTCTGACACTAGGTGGAGAAGGAACACATTGCTTGCTCCATAACATTACGCCACGGATGTGTACTCATTTTCGAGCCCACGCATTGTCCAATTGGATAAATACGAATAAGTTGTTAGAAAGATTTTAAAATTTTCGCTTTATTTTTCAATATTTATTCGCAATTTTGAAAAGATTTTTTTCCTTTTTTCAGAAGAAAACTTTTTTGTTACAAAAGATAAAATGGATTTTTTGTTATAATTATTTTTTAATTTGAAATGATTTTCATGTAATAGCATGTGTCTTTATATGGTCACTGGCGAGGTGTTAAAATACCCGTAAACCTGTACGAATGAGAAATATTATCATTTTATCAATATTACACTGAAATTTATTTCAAACAAACCTCCTTAATGTATCTCCACTTTGACGTAGTGAGGGGGCTTATACATTAAGAGAGATACGAATTTATAAAAAAGATTATTAAACTCAACTGTTGCTTTGTATGGACGTACTGACCATCTATGTTAAAAACACCAGTGGATAAGGCAGGGATCGAACCCGCGACCGTCAACGAAAGAGTGGTACCACATCTCTCACATCAACGACCCCCACGATATTATTTTAATGCGATAACAAGGTAACTTCAACGAGTTGAGGAATCCATCCAAGCGAGAAGTCGGTTTTCGACGCCTAATAAAAATATATTCCCTACAGGTTAAAATTATGGAATTTATTTTATTTAACATTACGTTAGCTATTCTTTAATTTAAAATAGATGCCATTTATTAAAATTATTAGTGACAATTTTTAAAAGAGTTGAAAAATTCAGTCAAAGTGGGCGATATGCTCATGTTCATGGCATTGTGTATAGAGGGAGCGACGAGCGCATTTTAGTAAGAGGAGTGTGGATCGGCTGGTAAAGGAGGAGGGTGACAAAATAAACTTGTATGATCATGCGTGTCTCCCACGACTCACTCTATCAACGACTATCGTAGTGTGTACACACACGTATTGGTAAGTAAGTTTTAACTTATTATCAATTTACAACGTTATAGTTATTAATATTTTACTATAAATTATCTTATTGTTTATAGCAAAGAACAACAATATAATTAAAAAGGAACCAACGAGATGCCTTCCTCCCTTGCATCATATT